ACAAATATTAGTGTTTCAAAACAGTAAAACCTATCACATCGATTACATTGTCAGTGAAAGTGCAGTTTTTTGCATTTTTCACACACAAACGACACTTTCACTGATGACAGTGGCGTACATACCAGGGTCGCAGGGGTCGCGGCTGCGACCGGGCCCGGCCCACCAGGGGGCCCGGCCGCCCCTGCGACCCGGTATGTAGCCACTGGGCCAGCCTCTTCTCCTGGGGGGCCCATGAGCCGGCCCCCCAAGGCCCCCCGGGCTGGCCCTGCTGACCCCAGCTGGCGGGTGGGGTCGGGCAGGCGGGCGCGCGAGGGAGCACTCAGTGCTTCCTCTACAGCTCCCTCGCGCACCGCAATGATACCGGAGCCGGAAGATGACGTCATCTTCCGGCGCCGGCATCCCTACGCGGCGCACGAGGGAGCTGAAGAGGAAGCAGTAAGTGCTCCCTCGCGCGCCCGCCTGCCCGACCGGCCGCCCGCCCGGGTCAGCAGCGCCACTGGACCCCAGAGAATCCCCCCAGCACTCCAAAAGGTAAGGAGGCTGGGGGGATTAAATTTTAAACAAAAAACTAGTGTTAGTGTTTGAGTGTGTGTGAGTGTTAGAGTGAGTGTGTGTTAGAGTGAGTGTGTGTGAGTGTTAGAGTGAGTGTGTGTGAGTGTTAGTGTGTGTCTGCTAGTGAGTGTTAGTGTGTGTGAGTGTTAGAGTGAGTGTGTGTGAGTGTTAGTGTGTGTGTCTGCTAGTGAGTGTTAGTGTGTGTGAGTGTTAGAGTGAGTGTTAGTGTGTCTGCTAGTGAGTGTTAGTGTGTGTGAGTGTTAGAGTGAGTGTTAGTGTGTGTCTGCTAGTGAGTGTTAGTGTGTGTGTCTGCTAGTGAGTGTTAGAGTGAGTGTGAGTGTGTGTGTCTGCTAGTGAGTGTCAGTGAGTGTGTTACTGTGTGTGTCTTACTAAGTGTGTGTGTTAGTGAGTCTGTTTGATGTCTGTTAGTGAGTGTGTGTTTGTCAATGAGAGTGTATGTTTTGTAAGTGAGTGTGTATGTATGTCTGTCGCTGACTGTGTCTCTGCCAGTAAATGTGTGTGTCTGTTAGCTAGTGTGTATGCGTCTGTAAGTGAGAGTGTGTGTGTCTTCAGCACTTACCTTTCTCCAGCGCCGGACTCCCTTGGTGCTGAGGATCCCTCAGCCTCTCAGCTCCGAATGCGACCGCGCACGCATTCAAACCGCCCATAGGAAAGCATTACACAATGCTTTCCTATGGACGTTCAGTGTGCTCCTCTAGCTGCTGTCAGTGAGACAGCCACTAGAGGCTGGATTAACCCTCAGTGAAACATAGCAGTTTCTCTGAAACTGCTATGTTTTCAGCTGCAGGGTTAAAACTAGAGGGACCTGACACCCAGACAACTTCATTGAGCTGATGTGATCTGGGTGTCTGTAGTGGTCCTTTAAAGGACCACTATAGTGCCACGAAAACATACTCGTGTTCCTGGCACTATAGTGCCCTGAGGGAGCCCCCACCCTCAGGGGCCCCCTCCCACCCAGCTCTGGAAAGGGGTTAAGGGGTTAAAACTTACCTTTTTCCAGCGCTGGGTGGGGAGCTCTCCTCCTCCGATCCTCCTCTTCTCCTCCCCGTCGGCTGTATGCGCACGCGCGGCAAGAGCTGCGCGCGCATTCAGCCGGTCACATAGGAAAGCATTCATAATGCTTTCCTATAGACGCTGGCGTGCTCTCACTGTGAAAATCACAGTGAGAAGCACGCAAGCGCCTCTAGTGGCTGTCAATGAGACAGCCACTAGAGGAAATAGGGGAAGGCTTAACCCATTCATAAACATAGCAGTTTCTCTGAAACTGCTATGTTTATGAAAAAATGGGTTAACCCTAGCTGGACCTGGCACCCAGACCACTTCATTAAGCTGAAGTGGTCTGGGTGCCTAGAGTGGTCCTTTAAGTGTGTGTGCATCTGCATGCACTGGCGTACATACCGCGGTCGCAGGGGTCGCAGCCCTGTAACCCCTGTGACCAGGTGCCCACCGCCATGTGTTGCAGCCCGACCCGCGCGCGTGGGGGTGGGGCCCACGGATCAATTTTCGCACCGGGGCCCCATGGGTCATGTGTACGCCACTGACTGATGATATTGTTGTGATACGTTTTACTGTTTTGAAACACTAATATATGTGTTCAGCGACGTCTCCTGAGTATAACAGTACCACCCATGTACAGGTTTTATAATGTTTTTAAAAGTTACTGGGTCAAATATAAGGCTTGATTTTCCTTTTTTTTTACATTGAAATTTGCCTTGTTGGTTATGTTGCCTTTGAGAGCGTATGGTAGCCCAGGAATGAGAATTACCCCCATGATAACATACCATTTACAAAAGAAGACAAGCCAAGGTATCGCAAATGGGGTATATCCAGTCTTTTTTAGTAGCCACTTAGTCACAAACACTGGCCAAAGTTAGTGTTCCTAATTGTATTTTGCATTTTTAACACATAAACAAATATAGTTGCTAACTTTGGCCAGTGTTTGTGACTAAGTGGCTACTAAAAAAGACTGGACCCCGGGTTGTCTACTTAAAAAAAAATATGTACATGTGGGGTGTGATTCAGAAATTTATGACAAATAACCGTATTTCAATGTCACTATTGATACATTTTAAAAATATATATTTTGAAACTGCAATTTCCTACTTGTACTTAAAGTCCTATAATTTGCAAAAAAAAGCACGTAAACAATGTGTGTTTTTAAACTCATGACAAAATTGTTAATCTATTTAGCAGTTTTTTTCAATAGCTTTTGTAGATAAGTAAAAGATTTTTCAACTAAAAGTCAAAAAACATGTTTTATTAAAAATGTTTCACCATATTTTATTTTTAAATTACATTATATTACATAATACAAATAATGGTGTGTAAAGAAAAAAGCAATATATCATTTGTATGGGAACAGTAAATGATAGAGAAGAAAATTACAGCTAAACAGAAACACCACAAAAGTGTTAAAACAGCCCTGGTCCTTAACGTACAACATGGCCAAAACAGTCTGGTCCTTAAGGGGTTAATGAAGGTGAACATAACAGTAAATAAATAAATACTCAATAACAAACAAACGAACAGACATATAATTGTATAGTGGTTAAAATCAGAATTTATCTGTAGCTATAATTAAAATGGAAGCTATCAGGGGCAACAAATATAAAACTAGACATATTTTACAACTGTCACATCATATATGTGTATTTTACTCTAACAAGTATATTTACTAAACTGTGTATTCACCAAGTGTGTGCATTGAGTAAAAATTTATTTCAGTCAAAACAATTCATCTGAAAATAAGAAATATTTGAGGACAGCAGAATTGTGTACATGCAGTGGTTCAGCTCCACAGAATTATGTCTGACAAGATTTGGGAAACGAATCAGGCGAACCAAAAGACTGTATAAATGGGCCAATTAGTGTACTGCAAAATATATAAATAATATAAATGTATGTTTATATTTTATAGTACACTGATAAGTGCATTTTTTCAGCCATTTGCTTCACATTTCAAGTGAGAAAAAGTAACCAACAGAAGTGACATGAATACATGTGTTCCAATCTCTTTTAAAATTCTGAGTGTCCCTGGGACATGGGATAAGCTAATAGGGTTATTAGAATCACCAACAAGAATATTGGATCAATAACATTGACTTGTAATACTTGCACAACCACTTTGGTGGTGTATATATAAATTGTATTATATATCTAAGAGGTAGAAAACGAGACACTGAACATCAAGGTCAGGAAGTCTCCACCTAACACTCTGAATATACACCAAGTAACACCAACTGTAGACCATTTTGACATCAATTACACTGTAAGAACTAACTTTGCATTTTTGAAGTAAGAATAATAAATCTGTTTTATAAGAAAAGCTTAAAGGACCACTCTAGGCACACAGACCACTTCAGCTTAATGAAGTGGTCTGGGTGCCAGGTCCCTCTAGGATTAACCCTTTTTTAAATAAACATAGCAGTTTCAGAGAAACTGCTATGTTTATAATAGGGTTAATCCAGCCTCCAACTCCTCTAGTGGCTGTCTTATTGACAGCCGCTAGAGGCGTTTGCGTGCTTCTCACTGTGAAAATCACAGTGAGAAGACACCAGCGTCCATAGGAAAGCATTGTAAAAAAGGGAAGTTTTAACCCTTTCCTCTCCCCAGAGCTAGGCGGGAGGGGGTCCCTGAGGGTGAGGGCACCCTCAGGGCACTATAATTCCAGGAAAACGAGTATGTTTTCCTGGCACTATAGTGGTCCTTTAAAAAGTCTGATTGTGTCATATAAGTGTGTGGCACAGAAGAGCATATCTATGTATATGATATAAGGCAGGCCTATTTTACCAGAACGAAGAAGAATATTCATACATATGAATAAGTATGAGGTATCAAATAGTATTACTATTGTAATCATTTTTTACAAAACTCAAACATGCTCATCCATTGCACAAGTCTTTATTTCCTACATGCCAGTTTAGAAATTGGGAATTCAGACAATCACTCTATCCATATCACCTCAAATTCAGAGGAATTTTAGTATTCACAAGGGATTTGCAAATCAAATGTATGGACAATTAGCAAAGCAGGGAACAAAGCTAAAAAGATGTTTTCCAATTTGTCTTTTTTGCATATATATATTGCAAATATTTGCAATTCCCTGGTGAGTTCTTAACCATTTATGTTTTAGTGGAAAACTGTGTAAATGTCCAGCTGGTAAAAGTATGAACATGGAAAGATGGTATGCATTAAAATTGAGTTATAAAGCAATGTGGAAACATTCCTTGAATGTTTATATACAAGGAAACTAACAATCAACCTTCAAAGATAGAATTATATTACACATGATGAATTATACTAATTATTCTCCTGAGTTACATAAACCTCTATTGTTGATGGCTGCTGAGACTTTGGATAAGGTGTTGCAAGGTCGAACAAACAGAAGGATGGAAATGTCAATACAAAATTTGTGAGACTGAATTGATAATATAGTTCCCTCTAGCTCTATTTAAGAATGTCCAAGGAGAAATATCTCAAGCAGTATTGCTAATATAACAGAAATTATTATAAGTTTCTATGCTACTAACATTTTCCTGCAGATGTTTAATAACTATTTATACATATTAAGGCAGGGTAGAGACCAAACGATGTCCCTTTGCTAAAGTTCTCTTGAAGTTTTTATTATGATGTAAGTGTTTAGTTTATTCTAAAATGCTAAAATACTGCTGAAATAGTATCCTTGAATGCTAAATGAAATGTGTTTGACTGACAAAATTAACTTTTATAATGTGTTTATTATTTTTGTAAAATTGTAATATGTTTAATTATACAGCGGTGATCATATGTGTTTGAAGATTTTGGAATAACCTGGATGTATGCATACAATGGACTTAGTAATTATTCTGACCTTCAAATATTTCAACAATAAAAAAATATTGTTTGCTGGTATGTTCAATAAAAAAAAATTAAAGTGAAAATGAAAAACTTGTGTGTCATTTTTTGAGTAGTAGTGCTATATTTCTATATTACTATTACAATTATTTATATAGGACCAACAGATTCTGCAACACTGTACAAAAGGTAAATAAAACAGATACTAAATTCTAACACAATATGATTGACATACTGGATCAAGCTTACAAGTTAAAAGGATGAGAGAGAAATACAAAAAGGGGATTGACTCATCAGTCTGTGCCTGTGGGTTGGTGGGAGGTTTGGAGGGAAGTACCAAAGTAGATGACAACGAAAGGAAATAAGGGATGTAGAGTTAAGAGGAGAGCTCACAAATTTGTCTAAAGTAGTGTGTTTTTGAGGATTTTTTTGAATATGCCATTGAAAGGCATTCCATAAAGAGGTTGAAGCCCTAGAGAAGTCCTGCATGCAAGAGTTTGGAGAGTGGGTGTGAGAATGGGATAGTAACATATCATCAGTGGAGTGAAGAAGCCAGGCTGGAGCATATCTGCTAAAGAATGAGGAGATGTTAGCAGAAAGTCTGTTGTGGGGAGGTTTGTAAGTAAGCACAAGAATTGTGAACCATATACTAAAGGGAACAGGAAAGTTACATAAACCTATATTGTTGATGGCTGCTGAGACTTTAGATTAGTGTTGCAAGGTCGAACAAACAGAAGATCATCAGTCTATGCTTGCCGGATAGTGGGAGGTTTGGAAGGAAGTAACAAAGTAGATGACAAAGAAAGGAAAATAAGGGAGGCGAGTTCACAAATTTGTCTAAAGTAGTGTGTTTTTGAGGACTTTTTGAATATGCCATTGAAAGGCATTCCATAAGTAGGTTGTAAACCTGTGCTAGAGAATCGCAATGCCGCGCATGCGCATTAGCGCTCCCCATAGGAAAGCATTGAAAATGCATTTTAATGCTTTCCTATGGGGAAATGAGCAATGCTGGAGGTCCTCACACAGCGTAAGGAGGTCCAGCGATGCTCTAGCACAGGTTTTCTGTGCTGTGGACAAGGAAGTGTCCTCTAGTGGCTGTCTACTAGCCACTAGAAAAATGGAGCTGCTTCCTGTTCGTTAAACGGACACTCCTGGCACCCAGACCACTTCTGCCCACTGGAGTGGTCTGGGTGCCAACTCCTACTACTCTTAACCCTGCAACTGTAATTATTGCAGTTTATAAAAACTGCAATAATTACAGTTGCAGGGTTAAGAGTCCTCAAAAACACACTACTTTAGACAAATTTGTGAACTCTCCTCTTAACTCTACATCTCTTATTTTCCTTTCTTTGTCATCTACTTTGTTACTTCCTTCCAAACCTCCCACTATCCGGCAAGCACAGACTGATGACCTTCTGTTTGTTCGACCTTGCAACACTAATCTAAAGTCTCAGCAGCCATCAACAATATAGGTTTATGTAACTTTCCTGTTCCCTTTAATATATGGTTCAAAATTCTTGTGCTTACTTACAAACCTCCCCACAACAGACTTTCTGCTAACATCTCCTCATTCATTAGCAGATATGCCACTGGAGGTGGAGTTAACCCTGCAAGGTAATTATTGCAGTTTATAAATACTGCAATAATTACAGTTGCAGGGTTAAGAGTAGTGGGAGTTGGCACCCAGACCACTCCAGTGGGCAGAAGTGGTCTGGGTGCCTGGAGTGTCCCTTTAACGAACAGGAAGCAGCTCCATTTTTTTAGGGCCCCTTACACAGCTCAAGGTCTGGGGCCCCAGGGCTTGACCATGAGTATGCCTACAATGCCCACCCATAAGTCCACCTACATGGCCCACCCATGAGTTCTCTCACAGGAAGTGGAGTGTATGTGTGTAGGGGATGTTTTATGTGTTTTTGTAGAGGATGCAATGTGTGTGTGTTCTTATACAATGTAGTGTATAAGGATACCAATTTGTGTAAGGGATGTAGTGTGTTTATAGGGGAGGCAGTGTGTGTTTGCGTGTAAGGAATGCATTGTATGTTTCTTGGTGTGTGTGTGTAAGGGGTGCAAGGTGTGTTTCTGTGTATGTAATTGAATGGAGTGTGTGTCTGTAAGGGGTGCATTGATTGTGTAAGAGATGCATTTTGTTTCTGTGTGTAAGAGAATGAGTGTTTGTCTGAACGTAAGGGATGCATGTGTTTCGGGTGTGTCCGTGTGTGAGTAGGAATGCATTGTATGTTTCTGTGTATGTGTGTGGGGGGATGCATTGTGTATGTGTGTAGTGTAAAAGAGAGGGTTTGTGGGGTAGGATAGGGACTGAGAGGGGAGCAGCTCTTTGTTTTTTTTAATTTTTTTCTCATAGTGCTCTCCCCTCCTGTCAATTATTGATTTCCCCCTTCCCTCCTGTCCCTCTGTGTTCTCCCCTTCTGTCCCTTAGTGCTCTCCCCTGGCCCCCTGGCCCTCTGCAGTCCCCCCTTGGTGGTCATCTCACTCCCCCCTCTCCCACTTAGTGGTCCTCCATCCCTCCCCTGAGTGGTCCTCCCTCTCCCAAACCCCTTAGTGGTCCTCCCTCTCCCAAACCTCTTCAGCAACCGAGGATTGGGTGGTTGGAGGGAGACAAGACCTGTAGTGCCAGGAAAACTGATTGTTTTCCTGGCACTGGAATTTCCCTTTAATTGTTGTGAGCACTGTTAAAAACAGTCTCCAGAGAGCCTCTTCTACACCAGACCTGTGGAGCCAGACTGAGCCCATCATCAGCCTCTTGTCCTTATCTGGTGGTAAGTAGGCAATCCAATATATTATTAGTGGCACTAATCTCTAATTTGCCTCACATTAAATGGATACTATAGTCACCAGAAGCACTACAGCATAATGTAGTGGTTCTGGTGTCTATAGCTGGTGCCTGTAGGCTTTTTAATGTAAATACAATGTCTTTTCAGATAAAAGACACTTTGTGAAGACTGGCGTTGGCCCATATGGCAGATTATATGGGCGGGGCATTGTGATGTCACATGGTGGGCAGGACATATGGGGTGAGGCATGAGAGTTACTGGACATAAGGTAGATGAGTCTGACATAGGTGTTCATTACAGACTGTAGAGTGGCAATCTGGGCACTATTTAGGCAGACAATCAGAAGGTTACAATAATCAAGGCGGTAAAAAACCAAAGCATAATGAAGCATTTTAATTGTTTAATAGTTAGAAAGGGGCAAAGGTGAAAGTGACTGGATTTGGTGATAGATTTTATGTAAGTGGTGAAGGAGAGATCTAAGTCCAAAAACACACAAAGGCCATGCATCAGCACGGTAGAGGCTATGAAAGCGCGGTTGAAATAAAAGTGAACTGTCAGAGACATAGCTGTAGGAGAAGTATTTAGGACGAAAGACAAGGAATTCAGTGTTGCAGAGGTAAAGTTTAATTAAGGTTTAATTAACCTTTAAGTCATCCAGTCATGAACAGAGGATAGGAAGTGAAACTCCAACGTGGGGAGAAAAATCAGATGAGGAAAGGTAGATTTTAATATCATCAGCATACAGGTGATGTTGAAAACCATAGGAGGATATCAGCTGTCAAAGAGAGGTATTGAGAATAGAAAAGGTCCCAGTACAGCCTTGAGGAACTCGAGCTGAGCGAAGTATAGAAGAAGAGAAACCAGAGAAAGAATGCTGAAAGACCAGTCAGGGAAGTAGGAAGATAACCAGGAAAGAGCTGTGTTCCTAAGGCCAAGGTCAGAATGGCCTCAGTGAAGAGGAGAAGCTGGTGGTTATCAGTATTGAACATGTCAGAAAGATCAAGGACAATAAGGTTTGAATAATAGCCTTTGGATTTAACCATCACTAAGTCATTCATCACATCATATTGAAGGTTATTTCCTCATGTTATTAGAGGTTAGTGTTTAAAATATTATCCTTCTGTAAAAGTTATGGGGAAATGGCATTTACTAGTGTCTGTATCAATCAATTACACTGGTGTAGAAAACTCTCTGAGTTGAAAAACTCCCATAGAGAAATGTAGAAATAGTGTCAAGGAATTCAACATTTATTTAATATAGAGTAACTTGTGTGCAAATTAGATACTTTAACACCAGACATGTTATATGTACCGTAGGTATATCTTCATATCTGTCACTACCTTTAGCAAATAATGGCTTTTTAATAACTGCCAACTTCACGAGTAATGACAGTCGCTAAAAGCTGCCTTTATTCTCTAGGAGAAAAAACTTAGGGACTGGTTCTAATCATGTTGCTACTTCTACAGTCTGTCACTAGACTTCCAAATTGATTTATTGATAACCCAGATGTTATTTCATTGTTGGTAAATGAGTGAAGACGGATTGTCTGTTTTTCCTTTGACGAACATAGGACGGGCTTGACGTATCTAATGTCATTGCTACTCTGAAGGCTTTTCACAAGTAAATTTATTTACTCTACTTTTCAATAATGTGGGTCAGACTAGTAAATCTCATGGATCTTTAAAATAAGCATTGCTTATGCTAATTTTTCCATGCACTATTAAATTGGGCCAATCATTTCTATCACAAGTTTGAGAATGTTTTCTCAAACATGCAAGTTATCATGCTCTACTTTGCCATTAAGGATATTACTATAATTTCTTTAGCAAAATGATGCTTTCTTTGTACACAGCCTTTAGACCAAATAACTGCTTTGTATCTACTTTGCTATGAACCACTCTTATATGATAAGAGCCTGGGTCCCAAGAAGAAAATTAACTAGCTCCCAGGACTCTCAGCTACCAAGACAAGCTACAGCCTTATGCAGAGCCTGGGTCCCAAACAAAACATTAACTAGCTCCCAGTACTCTCAACTACTAAGACAAGCTACAGCCTTATGCAGAGCATGGGTCCCAAACAGAACA